GGGGCTGAGGCAGGAAGATTGGAAGTTTGAGAGCAGGCTTGGGTAATGTCGTGAGATTTGGTGTTGAGAAAACAAAAAGGTGGGCACATAGTGCATGCCTGTCCTCCAGCACTCTGGGAAGGTGAGAGTAGAATCTCAAGTTGAAACCCCACCTAGGCAATTTAGGAATTTAGTAAGATCCTGTCTCCAATTAAAGAGAAAAAAATTTGAAAAGGACTGGAGATGTAGCTCTGTGTGAATGCACTTGGTTCAAGTCCCAGAAATGACAAAACAAACAGACCCACAACAAACTGGGTATAGTGGTACCTGTCTATAATCTCAGCATTTGGGAAGCTGAAATATATGTTTACTAAAAGATGACAATGTAATATGTTACAGAGCCTTTCAGGCTAGGTCTACAGATGCCCAATGATAACTAAAAGCAAGATAAAGCCCAGCATCTCTGCCTTCATTTTCTATGCCTCCCTTATTACTGAGGAACTCTGGGTCAGATTCCAGCTCATGTTAATCACTTGGTATCTGTTTTACAAGGTTTATTATCCCTAAACTTCCCTGCCTTATCTTATCCTCCTTTAAGGCTGTGGACAACAAGATAAGAGTAACTGTAGCAATTTTCAGGATTTGCAGGGCCATCTACTTGCCAGTTTTTATGACCTCCAGTTCCAGACCCCCTGGAGTGATGCTTCCAAGTTTCAAGTTGTCCCAAACCCAATGTGCCTCGCAATCCCAGAGAAGCAGAGTCTTGCAGACCACCCCAAGAGGAGGTCACCCCATGGCGGGACTGAGGCTGCCTCCATAGCCTGCTGCCACCTAATCAAGGAAACCAAATTGCCCCAGTCCCCGACCTCCACCTGAGTCAGCCCTGCTCTGCAGATCAGAGGACCTGGCCAGGATAGCCTACCCCACCCCCCAGCCACACAAACCCAGCCCTTGCCTTTGTTCCTCTTTTCTATGAAACCCCAAAGTTTCTGTCAGATTTTGTTTGTTTTTTGAAACAGGGCCTCGATATGCAGTTCAGGCTGGCCTTGAACTATGCAGCTGGGACTGGCTTTGAACTGTGGTGATCCTGCTGCCTCAGCCTCCTGAGTGCTGGGATTACAGGCGTGTGCCCCAATACTCTGCCCAAAGACGGATCTTGAGCCTCTTTTTCTGTGCTTCCCAGAATAACCATGCTGATTAAATCACCTTTCAGGACCTTGATTGGCATTATGGGATGGGTGGTCAAGCTTCGTTTTTTAAGAATCTGGAGCTGGGCTCCGGCCCAAAACTCTGATAACCATAATAGCTTGTGCTGTGTCAGGTGCAATGTGAAGTGCTTTATAAAGACCCCATTCATTTTCATCAGCCATTACCTACATTTTGCCCATGGAAAGCCAAAGTCAAGATAGGAGACTTACTCTTGTGGAAACAATACCTGTGTCCACGCCCGCTCTGCTGTCGTCGGACTCAGGGTATTTAAAGGCTGGGGACACAGTCCTGGGGGTTGGGGTGGCAAAGGACCTGCTTAGGGTGTGGGGCCCTTGGCTGGACTCCAGCACCACACACGCTCCACATCCACACGGAGAACACAGCGGGTGTATATTCTGAGCAAGGATGGGTGGAATATTGGGTTGAACCAATCAATCTATTAATTTCAAACTTGCGCTTTGAAGACTGGGATGATTAGTGGTGAGGGATGAGAGATATCCTTATAGCTTTTAATTCTATACTCTTTTCATTTGTGAGAAAAGCAGGACCCTAGGAAATTATCTTAGTATAAAACTAGTATTTATTAGACTTTTTATTTGCCAGGGATTATGAAATGTCTGGATTGAACCCAGGGCTTTGCATATGCCAGCCCCACCCCTACAAGGTTCCTTTTCTGCACCTGTCTTTTAGGCTTTCATTTTCTCCACCGGAAACTGAGACCCTTGGGTAATTTTAAAGTTCTCTTTCTGCTTTAAATACGAGACCTTAAAGTGGCACAGTAAATTGTGACAAGGTGTGGGGGGATGGGTGTGGCGGTTCAGATCCACAATCAAGGGCTATTTTTTTCTCCATTGCATTCCACCAATATTTGCAACCAAAAAAGGAGGCCACGTATTCGTACTTTATTAGTTGTAGACAGACACATTCTAATAATACTAACATGTCTAGGGTAAGAACCAATTCTCTCCAATTTACTACACAATGCTGAGTTTAAGAATGTTATTCCTGTTCACTTGATGTATAAAAAGGATAGCCGCTTACATCCCATTCTACTACTTTTCGTTTTAGTTGCCAAATAGTTAACTTCCTTTCACAACTGGAGTTTTCCTTATTTAGGTAAGTTTTCAGGAGGGCTTGGGGTTCTACAAAACAGGTTGGATGCATTTCCTTTTCACCTGTTTGGGCTAATGACCTTCAGTGTTATGCAGAGTAAAGAAATAATCCAGCTCTATTCAGAAAAACTAGTTGCCTTGAAAAAGAAAAGGCTAATTCCAGTGGA